AAAGCCACGGCAGGCGGGGCCAGGAGCGGGAGCAGCTGCGTCTTCGGAGGGCAGACGGCGGGCTGGGGGGACTCGGGGTTCGGGGTGAGGAAGGAGAAAGCAGGTTTGGTCAGACTCCACGTAAACGGGTACCCGCAGCACCAGGCACGGCGGACGGCCCCCCGTCCCCTGACTCAGAGCAGCTTTCACGAGGGACGCTTGCTCTCTCCAGATCTCATCCTGGCCGTGGGTGTTTTAGTGCAAGGCCTGCCGGTGGCCAGGGACACCAGGGTCCCCTGGAGACAGCTCTTCCGGAAGCCTTCTGTCTGGTGAGCCGGCTGCCTTGGGGTCACCGTATGGGGCAGGGGCGGTGGCAGGGCACCCTGCGTGTCCCCACACCAACCGACCACGGAGCCGGCGTGCCTGGGTCTCACGGGGCCTCTAGCTGCCCTGGGGGTTGGGGACGGGGCTGGGGTGGTGGCCTGAGCCGTGCCCATGCCCACAGGGCAGCCATCTTCTCCCAGTTCTCGGCGGCCTGCTCCTTCTTCATCCTGCTGTCCTGGCTGCCCACCTTCTTTAAGGAGACGTTCCCCAGTTCCAAGGTGGGTGGGGCTGAGCCAGCCTGCTGGGGGGCCCCTGGCCGCACCCCCTACCTGGAGGCCCTAACGGCCTGGCCCAGGGCCTGGAGAGGCTCCCCCACGCCCAGGGCCCCCCATGCCCAGGTCCCCCCGACGCCCAGAACCCCCCATGCCCAAGGCCAGCTGCATCTGTGAGGGGCGGGAAGGCACAGCCCCACACCCCCGTGATGGCACCAGGACTGGCCACTTGCAGACGGTCAGTCCTGAGGAGGGGCTGGCAGGGGCCTGATGCGGACAAGCGTGTCACTTGATGGTCAACTTGGCTTGCTCCACCCGGGGCCCCCTGAGCTGTGCATTGCCGGGCCGGGGTGCACCCCTGCCTCTGCCGACTGTGGCTGGGGAGCCATGAGGGAGACTTAGCCTCAGGGGAGTCAGTGCTGGGGGCCCGGTGGAGCCCGGTGGAGCCCGGTGGGGATGGGTCAGGACCAAGGAGGCCCGGCCTGTGAGCAAAGAGAGCCTTGACGGGCGGTGGGTGTGAGTGGCCATGTGGCCGAGCTGCCCTGGCCAGCTCTGAGGCCCCTCCCCTGCCCTTCCCCGCAGGGCTGGGTGTTCAACGTGGTGCCCTGGCTGGTGGCCATCCCGGCCAGTCTGTTCAGTGGGTTTCTCTCTGACCATCTCATCAGCCAGGGTGAGCCTGGGCATGGGGATGGGCCGGGGCCTTGCGGGCTTCGCCTCACCCTGGGGGGCAGGGAGGCACCTGTCCTGGGGGTGCAGCTACAGCGATGGGAAGAGGCCATGGCCCCCGAGGACCAAGCTGTGAGTGGGACCCCCGGCCCCTCAGAGCCAGCCCGGAGACTTCCTAGCCTCGATTTCCCCAGTGAGGGCGGGGCTGGGGTGCAGCGAGGGATTCGAGGCCCACCGTGACTGTGGCACTAACCCCCGAGGCTCGGGCACAACCCCCAACCCCCTTCAGAGGTGGAAAGGGCAACTGGTGGGGTCAGAGGCCACAGCCAGGTGAGGGCCGAGGACCCAAGTGCACATGCCCCAAGGACGATGACCTCACAGACACCACTCCCTGCCCCACACACATCCACTCATCCTTATGTGGCTGCAGTGGCCACATTCATGGAAAAGCAGACATGTCCGTCCACGTGGCCTGCCTTCCGTGCGCCTGCCTGGCCTTGCCTCGGGGCCCTGTAAGTGCACACGCCCTGCAGCGTGGACGCACTCACACGCTCACACACACGCGGGAACACGCCTCTCCACGACACGGGATACGGCGGCTCGAGCCCAGGCCCAGGTCCCTCTCTGCACTGTCCAGCACGGGGAGGACACTCCGGGCACCGGGGGTGGGGTTAGCATGAACGGGCCGGTGGGGACGTGTCCTGGTCTCCCCTCCACCCAGGTTACAGAACCATCACTGTGCGGAAGTTCATGCAGGTAGGGGGGCTGTGGGGTGGCTCTCTCTGGACCTCCTGTTTGTTCCTGTGTCCCCAAATCACCGGGCCCAGAATGCAGCCTGTGTGGCACGGAGGTCGGAGGGTAACCTGGGTAGTGCCGAGGCTGGCCTGGCCACCCCGAGGCCCTCTCCAAGCCATGTGTGCCCCTCCCGGCCCCTCCGAGCCCCCCGATCCCCCCTGAACCCTTCCAAACCCCTCTGAGCTCCTCTGAGCTGTGTGAGCCCCTCAGAGCCCCTCGGAGCCCCTCCGAGCCCCGGTGCCCATTTCCGGGCCTGGGTCTGCTCACACCTGAGGGGCGTCTCCACCTGCCTACGCAGTGGGGCTGGCTCATCGAGGAGCCTGTCCCACATGTCCCCTGGGCAGGCCTCGGCTGGGAAGGGTCTTCCCCGCTGACCCTTGCTCAGTGAACCCCAGGAGCCCTGGGAAGGGGCCCCTCTTGGCTAGCATGGCCCCGGTCCTATGACCGCCCACCTCTCCCACAGGTGATGGGCCTGGGCTTGTCCAGCGTTTTTGCCCTGTGTTTGGGTCACACTTCAAGCTTTTGTAAGTCTGTGTTCTTTGCATCAGCCTCCATCGGCCTCCAGACCTTCAACCACAGGTGAGGGCCAGGCACTCCTGCACCTGAGCTACCCCGTCTGCCCTCGGACACCCCTGGCACCACACACCCCAGGTGCTCAGAAGGAGCCGTGTGGCTCGGGGCATGTGGAGGGCAGACGCGGGGCTGGTCCCCACGAGTGAGCCACAGAGGTGAAGGGTTATCCGGGTAGCAGCTGGCACGGACGGGGCCATGTGGGGAAACGAGCACCATGCAGGGGGGTGGGGGGCGAGCTGGGCCCGTCTCCAGGCAGCGCCTCTGTCCCGAAGGTGAGGAGCGAGCCTGTCCCCTCCTTCCCCGGTTCCCCAGTCCTCCCCAGCTGCTCACTCAGAGAAACGTCCCTGGGCGTTGCTTCTGGAACTGGCCGTTTCACATCGCCTTTCAGATTAGTAGAGCAAGCTTGTCCCGCCCTGTCTGCCTCACCCTGTGGGGGGGCGGTCCCTGTGCTGTCCCCACCACCGAGACGGGGCTCGGGTGGCCCGGCGGGGCGGGCGGCCCTGACCCCCTCGACGGCCCCTCGGCTCTGGGCGCCCGGAGGACTGCCGTGGCTCTCCGGGCTGGCGGCCGCCCTGTGGTCACCTGCTCACGCCCCTCGCTCTTTCCCGCAGCGGCGTTTCCGTTAACATCCAGGACCTGGCCCCGTCCTGCGCGGGTGTTCTCTTTGGTGAGGACTGAGACCGGTGCCGGCGTGGACAGGAAGCGGCTGCCCAGCCCCAGCCTTGCCCGCCCAGCCTCGCCCGTGCCCTGGGCCCCTCGGCGGGCTGCTGTGGGGAGGGGGGGCCCGCCATGGGGCTCCTCTGACCAGTCCTCCTTCTCTGTGCCCTGTTCACAGGTGTGGCCAACACGGCTGGGGCTTTGGCAGGTGAGAGGCGGGCTGGGGTCCCCTGCCGGAGGGTTCAAGTCCATCGGTGCGGGGGATGTCTCCCAGACGGCCCACTCTGTTCTCTCTCCCCTCCGGCTACTCCAGCCCTGCAGCACGGGGGTGGCGCTCTTTAGGGGGGTCCGACAGTGTCAGACAGGTGGCGGGGGGACAGCTCAAACCCTGGAGCTGGCCCAGGGGGAGAACAGAGCCGCCTTCTCTCGTGCTCGTTCACCTGATGGAGCGTGACTCCCCCGTACCCCCCAGATTCAAGTCACATCTCAGTGCCTAAGTGACAGGGCTTGTTTGCAGCCCAGCCCCTCCGGCTGCCCCATCCCCTGTGGCAGACACAGAGGGACAGGTCAGGCAGGTGATTTCCCAGACGGCCGTGAGGTCCCTGCCCCGCTGAGACCCCCAGGCCGATGCTGGCCATCAGACGCCCGAACGCCATCCCTCTCTATGCCCCACCCAAGGTGCTCAGGGCCGGGCCTGCCTGTCACTCAGCCTGCCTGTCCCCTCTCCCGGTGCAGGTGTCGTGGGCGTGGGCCTGAGCGGTTACCTGATCGAGAGCACGGGCTCCTGGACATCTATGTTCAATCTGGTGGCCGCCATCAGCAGCCTGGGGCTGTGCACCTTCTTGCTGTTCGGAAAGGCCCAGCGGGTGGACCTGAGCCCGAGCCGTGAAGACCTCTAGCTGCCCCGGCCCCGCCTCGCAGGACTGGCACCATCAGCCTCAGGCGAAGCGCTCGATGCCCGAGCCTCTTGCTCCTGCCCCGGACGGACAGAGGAGAGGGCGCAGCGGGGCCGGACGGCAGGCGCCTTCCCCGCTCCCGGGGTCGGTGGGATTCGTGTTTCTGGGGCAGCAGCTTCATCACGGACACAGCCTGCTCCACGTAGAGTCAGCCATGTCCCTGCCGTCAGCCACCTGTGGGGCTGCCCCTCCCTGAGGAGCTGACTGCTTCGCCCCAGCCATGGCCACCAACACTGTCACCTGACATCACCAAGTGTCCCCAGGGAACTGCCCCGGGCAAGGACCGCGGCTCTAGGTGAAGGCCGTTGGGTGGGTGGGCAGTGGGCTCCAGCCCTTTGGTCATCTTTGCGGACCCCCTACCTCTGGCACCCCCTCCTGTGGACCCCTGGGCACGAGCGACGTGTTCTATTTCCTTGGCGTGTGGTGACTGGCTGTGAGGAACAGGTCACCCCCTCCTGCCCGAGACGCGGCCTAGAGCCAGGTGAACCCACCTTCCCCTGTTCATGATTGAGGAGCCAGCCGTGTCGTGGATTCATAACAGACTTTGCAAGTTGTATATTTAGGGAAAAGAAACTACAAAATTGTGGAAAATCACACCAAAGCCTTATTTAATTGAAGACTGTTAAACTGTGGGAAAGAAGACTCACTTTGTTAACACCCGTTTTCAAGAATAAATACTCGTTAGAGAGACTGACTTCTTTCACGAGGGACCCAGCAGAGGGACAAACAAGCCAAAGGGAAACTCCAAGGAGAGACGCGGGGACAGATCAGAGGCCTGAAATGGGGCCGCTGGCTGTCCGGCTCTGGGCGGCCGCTCGCCGGTCCGCAGATGAGCGCGGTGGG